GCGCCCACAAGCTCGTGGGTAGGACGACTCGGCTGTAGTCGCCCTAAATTACTTGATATGATATTATTCTAGTATACTTGGTTCTATTGTTTTCAGGACTTCAATTACCCCACAAGCGGATGATTACATTGCATGCATATATTATTAATGATGCGAATATATTCGTCATAAACCCTACGCAATACAAGAGACCATGACGAATATACACGACACAACCACTTAAGGGGTTACTAAGAATATTTTAAAAAAAATGTCTTTTACATACACAGAAACTCAACACAATTTGCCACAAAACTGACGCAAGATTCATTACAATTAGTAATATTATTCAAAAAATTAATGTTTTTTTTTTTGTACAAAACTCAACAAATCGAATAACTAAATAAAATAAAGGGAAAACCGATCAATTTTTTTTATAAAAAATATAATTTTCTGTACTTTGCTCAATTTATATTTAAATTGTTTTGAAATTTCTAAATATATAATTGATAAAGATGAATAATATTGCTTATTTTTAAATGTATTTACATTAATATAAATTTCTTCCTTCAATTAGATATATATGTCAAACAAGGTATTTGCATTGTAACAAATAGCCCAGATCATTAACGAAAAAAAAAAAGAAGCTGTATAAAAAGCATGTAATTTGGTTGATGTAACATCAACATTTTGCGAGTAGGACACGTGCTAATCTGGAATGATGGTGTGCATTAATCAAAATTTGGAAACCTTCCAAAAAACAGGCATCATGCAGGCAGTTTCAATTTATAGAAATACACGCTGATTTGCATGTTGTTGTTTTCGCTTAATTATTAGTTGTCTCTTTTTTTCTCTCTCTCTCTCTCTCTATATATACATTTAAACAATCAAGTTTGGCCGTCATTTTATTAAATAACCAGCAAATGTGTGATTTATGAATATTAATATGAACGATATTCGTATGGAGGTTTAATTGCGAGCATATAGAATCACATTTTGAAAGTCCAATCAATACTGCGTTTTAGAGGCGACATAGAGAATAACGCGACCCGTAAATAACGTTCATGCGTGCACGGGGTTTGAAAATAATTGTTAATATTCACACATACCCGCACTGTTTTACACGCATTTCCGCACGTTTTTTTTTTTGGGGTGAAAACAACTTAAAATGTTGAACGTGATTTTTTTTTATTTCCACCATATTTCGTCAAAATGAAACAAAATAAAACTACTGTGTGATGTGTTTCCATCATCAAAACGGACAAAAAAAAAATTGCGTAAATAATGGACGCGGAATGTTACGCATTCGCATCGATCTATTTACACTACATCAACTTTAAATGTTTTCTGCCAATAAAAATTATGAAAAAAAATTGAGTTAAAAAAAATGTGTTATTACACGGGAAGTGGAGGAGGGTGAACGGTTTTTGGGGTAAGGGTAAAATTGATGTTAAAGTGTTTACACATCGAGCAGTGTTTAATGTTTGCATTTGCAATTTCGGGCTTCCAAAACTGATGGGATTATGTTAATAATTTAATCTGTAGAAACGTATTCCAATTTTGATTAATTTATTCAACATATTCATCATCGAACTGGCGACCAGAGATTTTATTTTAATCTGATTGAAAGATAATATCCGAACGTGCCCTAATTCATCCATGTACGTTTTGCATTCGTTCATAGCCTAAACGGCATTTTAATGATATATTTAATTACGTTGTTCAATAGGTGGAAATGAAAATTGTGGGAAATAATAAAATTTGTATACTGATAAAAACCAATTATTGTGTCCAGATTGAGGAAAGGCGTGTGGGTTTGGGGGGAGTTTTGATGTGCAGCTTCCGTTCGTCGGATTAATGGAAGTAGTTCTGATGTGCATCCGGTTCGATACGCAAAAGATTGCCATACAAGCGAGCGCAAAGGTATTCGCAATATTCTACTTGCAAATAGCCTTTAGTAAAAACATCCCTTGAATATACACAAGCAGATGAAATTGCAATCTCAACTCCATTAAAACAAAAAGTCGGGGAAAGCAAATTGCATCTAAAACAAAACAGACAAGTAACAAAAAATACCGGAGCAAAGTAGAAAAATACGCAATGACAAACTACGTTCCTCAAATGCGAGGCAATTACCGGTTTTCTTAGTTTTTAAATAACATCTAATTTGATGCTATTGATTTATATTTAGATTTCAACGACAAATTCGTTACATCTACACTACGTTTAAATTTAAAAAGATAAGTTCTATAATCCGAGACATTCGATATAACAAAGTACCATTTAACATCCATAATATTCCAATATTATGGCCGAAGCGATAATAACCAGAAGTTGTACATGAAATAGAAAAGAAAAACCAAGAAATTAGTAATGAAGTTATCCAGATAGAAATCAATAGTTTTCGAAAATGACGATGAAGAGGATTTTAGAAATTTATTGAATACAGAAGATTTATAAAACCCTGTTAGAAAGATAAAGAAAATGAAGACAAAATAAAATAAGTTAATGTTAAAAAAAACATTTAAAGTCTTATTCATTCCAAATAAAGCATAAATATGTAATTTAGTTCACCTAAATTACCAAAAAAAAAGTACTACCTTGAGTAATAATAACTGATTTATTCAAAATGTATACACAAATATATAATTTATTACCATTCTGACCTCTTCTTAACACCTAATTTGTACACTAAAGTTCAGCGATTCGTGTGGTCATTACACGTGCGTGATCGCAAAAATAATCAGTTACAAATTATTATATATTATTTTAACAATGTATAATAATAAATTATAATGCACAATAATCAATTATTAGTAATAATAATGATCAATTACTTGTGCAAGTATTAATGTACAAATATTATACGTAAATTACGTCTTAAAGTCATAAATATTAGCAGTTGGTTATGGTTATATATGCTACACGTGCTTCTGATATGTGCGAGATTATAGTTACACAAATGTATTAGGAATATGTAATAGCATTGGAGTTGAAATGTATTGAACAGGTGTGCTTTATTAATCGACTTTTTGAAAAAATACATTTACCAAACTGTAACCTTGACAAGTTTATACATAGCTTATGTATATAGTATGTAGTTCTCACACTTGCAACTTGCGTAACCATTCTAATAGGATTTTGTTTAGTTTGAATTATATAACTATTGCACTTGAATATACAGTGGATGATCCGGTTAACGAACATCTTACCGACCGATTGATGTTACTTTGAGAGCTGAATCAAAATCCGCTTCATATCGAATCGGATAGCGAACATCCTCTATAAACGGATTATGTTCGTTAACTAACTAAACAAACGTTTATATAAAACTAGAAGCTAGAATTACATACGTTAGTTGTGCAACACTGTATTTGTTGCATGAATTTCTATTTCTTCGAGTAAAAAGAAGCACATCAAAACGGCGAAGAAATTGTATTTTTACTTTCTAGTTAATTAAGATTTAGAAAATCATCTAGCGAATGCGGACGAGGAAGCAGGGATTTAATTAATACTTTTTCGTTATCCTGTATACAATTACTATAAGTAGCGGTATACAATATTCTTATTAGGTATTACTTCATGAGTGTGTTGAGAATGGAAAACAATGATGATTTCTCTTACTTAACAATAATCTTCAAATAAAAATCTCACCGTTATCAAGAAATTGTGAACAGCTGAATTGAATTTCTTTAACAAAACCAAACTCTATATTTAAAACTCATAACTTATGAAATGGGTTGAAACTACTTTAAAATACGATGAGAAATTAATTTGGGATTAGTTTAGAAGCAATAATATTAATGTTTTCAGTATATTATATATGAATTAATTACATTGATATGATAATGAAATGTATGTTTTAATATAATAGAGAGTGTAGAATTGTAATAAGATGGAACGTTTGCGTGTGGACAGCAGTAAAACAAAGTTTAAATGGCGAGGGTGGAGTGATAACGAGGGTATTTCGAGATTCCGCTTTTGGAAATAGATGCTGGGAGAGCATTAGATCCCGAATTAGTCCAAATGAAAATTGGCGTCGCGATCAGATGAACCCGGAACTTCGGGGTCTTTGTACCAACTCGTTAACGTAACCGTATAAATTGTCAATGGAGATTTGAGAGCGTGGAAGAATGGCACACCGATCGAATTAACTTAATCAAATTGACCTACACATTTCGAAAAGAAAGTTCTACATTTCACAGAATCTTATTAGTTTTATGACATGAATGATTTTAGAAGATATCTCTTATAATCCGGTTTCCATTAGTCCAGTTTAAAATTATTAAAATTAGCTAAATTCAGCACGATTAAAACATATTCTAAAACAATATTATTTATGTATATGTTACGGAAAAGTACATAATAAATACATTTACCAATTTTGTACGGTAAATGTAAGTATAAATCTGGCAGAAGCGTCATATATCTAGTCTTTTACCAGTAAATGTATACATACACCAACATATATTGTAAAAGTAAAAAATTTACCGATTAAGTACTTTTACCCTTTGCATAATCAAGTCTCTTTTTGTGCCGATTATTTTTTTATATGTATTTAATTCCTCGATTAATCCGCATTTAACCGTAGGACATGCGAGGTTTTTCTTTAAAATAAAAGTGTCTTTAGACACTTCTGTATCTGTCCTTGTGGGCAAGTTTCCATTTGGGAATAGGTTTTTTTTTTATTAGCAAGACGCATTTCAAACTACCCTTGTGAAATATTCAACGGATCAAAAATCATAAAATCCCGTTATGCGAGATGTCGGAAACGGAATCGAATATTAATGCATAATTCCCATGCATCTCGAAAACGTTTTAATGCGTCCTCCCATTTTCGAAACACCTAAATAATAAATGTGTTTTTCCGGCTACGGTCACGATCCACGCGAACGCCAGCAATTAACACCCAATTATTTTCACATAAAGCAACACATAACGTTTTCTTGTTGTTATCGTTTTATTAAATCAATATATATTTTGTTACATAATACTATTTTTTTTTGTTTAACAATGTTGTAGCAAGTAAATAATTTATAAGTAGAAAAAGAACTATAGTTATATATTTTATAACATTTTTTTTTAACCAAACTACAGTACGTTTAGGTGTTTATATGTGGGTTACATATTCCTTGGATCAGATGCCTCCTTCTCTTTCCTAAGAGCTTGCATTAATATAACTGCCATCGCCACGTTGACAACCTAGAACAAACAAATAAAAATATAATAAGCAAACAAATAAATGATAAATAGAAGTATTTAATAGGTCATAAAACGAGAATTTTCGATCAAATTGCATCTCTGCTCAAAGGTGGCTTCTGAAGCTCATATAACTCATCATTATAATCCATTTTTTTTATATTTCAGCAGTTCAAATTCGTTGGGTTTCAGTTTGAAACTCTGGCGTGAATAGATCTGGATTTTCAATTGGTGTTATGTGAAATGGTTTATGGCGATCCTTAATGAATTAAATCGTGGCCGCCCCCCGTTTGCACGCACTTTCGCATCGCATGCCTTCGAAAAATAAAACACCAACAACCGCCGCCGCCGCCCCCCATGGGTTCGTCGTTACGTCAAAAAGCGAGAACGCCCCGCCGTTTGTTGTTCGTTGCACACCCCGCGCGCCCTCACACTGCGTGCCTTTATTTATGAAACCCTAAATATTTATGTGGGCTCTATCGGATCGCCGTATCAATGGCCGAATCGCGTGCTAATGTCGGATTTTGCCAGATATATAAACCGACTCGCGGAATCTCATATACAATTACATGGGATTTGTCACGTGCAATTCATTTACTGGCACCACCTTCCACACGTTTATCCGAGTTTCATAATTTATTTCATAAAAAAAAATATATGAAAAGACAAAGACAATTTGTATTGTTTTCAAAAGCGAATGTTGCTTCCACATGATTTACTATACGCGGAATTATGTGCATATGTAAAATATACCAATAAATAATTTAATGGTCGTTTTGTATTTAGATTATAAAAACTTTTCGTTACAATATACAAATAATTATCTAAACAGAAGTGACAATTATTACTTGAATGTAGACTTGGTGCTTCCAATTGCAAAACAAATCATTTTTGTCTGTTTCACGTCTCTTTATAATTTAAATAGTAACATAAATACCGTCAGACGACAAAGGGTTGAAATGTATATTTGTAAAAGTGAATCAAGTAAAACTCTGAAATTTGTTCCTACGTTGGATCTTCTAAATGCGATGGGGAAGCAATAAAACAGAGAAGAAGATGGCGTATCGAATTCGATGGGTTTGAAGTTTGTTGGTAGTTTAATTAATGTAGGCGACCGTCCGGGACGTTTCGAGTTTGGCCAATCAATTCCGTTTCAGACCTCACAGTGTTCACGTAATCTCCATAAGGTGCGAGGTAGGTAGGTTGAGAAGACCCAAAAGCCCTTAGCCAGCCACTCGCACGGATGCAGCGCAGGGGATTTCCCGATGTGTCAAGATCAGGTCAACGAGCGCAGTTGGATTTTAATCCGTCGAGGAACAAAAGATATTGCCACAATAATCTCTCCCAACGTACTGAAACTCATTTATATACAAATGTACGATGGACACAAAACAACGTCGGTATTTACGTAGAATGTAAACCTTTTTGATACGAAAAAAACGTATCTAATAGATTTTACCAAGCGATGTTGTCCAGATCTTTTCATTCCCATTTCAGTATGTTGAATGCAATGAAATGTTCAGTGTGTGTTTATAATAACTTGCTGGAGGGTTCACATGCAAGTTTACTCTTCACATCCATAAAGCTCTAGTGTTGCAAGTACTTTTGCGCTTAAAATATAGAATGTTATTAATTTAAATATATAAACGATTTAAAAAATATTTATATTTGTAATATGTAACATATAAATGAATTAAATATCAAAATGCACCCACCATAAAGTGTGGATATTTGAGCATGTTTTAATTCAAATGGAGCTATCAATATGTTAATGGAATCCCTAACAGTTGGTTTGCGAATACCAGAACCGAGCCGAACATGCTGTTAGAGATTATGCGAAAAACGCGATGCAATAATTTAAAAGCTTATTGCGTCGGAAGAAAATAAAATTCAATGCGAATCTATAAATTTAATGGTATGTGGCGTATACACATTCACATACACACAAAAACATATACGTGCAGAGAGACTGCCTCTGTCTGCATGGTTGTGTTAAGGTATTTTTATTTTTTATTCCCGGGCGAGAATTGATGGCGTGCAAATCCGTATTCCGAATTGCGCGCTTTTGGACGAGATGAAGACGGATTGAATGCGCAGATGGAGATTTGATAGAGAGAACGAGTATTGGAATAAAAATTTTTAAAGTGAACATTCCGTGCATTCCCCCTGTATCTATTTCTCTTCCTGGATTCCGGATGATGACAAATGCGGTGATTTTCCATGCACGTATCACAACATCGGAAAATATGTTTCCTACGTATTTTCTCCGTCACTTTTCTTGTTTTCCATCGCATTATTCTTACTTTCGTGCATGAATACTCCTCTCGCGTTGTTAGTTATTCGTACAGATTTCGAACGGATTTCCATCGAATCATCGCGTGGTTTGTGGGATGGGTTCGATATTTGCATCTGTCGCGTTATTTATTCGGAAGTTTTCGGGCACTAGTTGAAGCGCATTAAAATAAATTGAACGTGAAAATGTTTGTGAAAAGGCAACGCAAATACTGGTCGATTTTTAACGGTTCAAAAGAATAAATTGGAACTTGTACGATTTGCGCTGTGTGTGCGTGAAATAGGTGTACTGAGCAAAACTCTAGTCCAGACGTTATATTTGTTTTTATTTATCTAATTATGGTTTCGGTTTGGAAATGTTAGAAAAGTAAATAATTTGAATGACTATAAGTAATAGACAAAATATTGAAATAAAACTAAAAAGTTGTTGCCATTAACAGTGTATAAAATTAATTACAGAAACTGAATGAAAATTATTTTTATAGTTCTTGTTGGACAACATAAATGTGAAGTTGTAAGTTTGGCGTTGAAAATGGAAGTACAGAAATGTACAGATCCATTTTGTATTTCTCTCTCTCTCTCTCTCTCTCTTTTTGTGAAAACCTTTCCCTTTTACGTCCATTCCAAGTCGGCCTTGCATGTAGAGACATAAAGGGTCTCTAGTTGTTGATATATATTGCTGTCACATTAGACCCGGGGTGTTTCCCATCGATTTCCACCGCATTTCGCATTTATTCCAAACGAATTTTCGCAAGAGAGCGGATTCAACGGTCTGCGCGCAATTCTTAACGCGGCAAGGGTCTTTTAAACTACTTTTGAATTGATCTACGGGTGAAAACCCCGGCGCCTCCACCCCATAATGGGTTGCGCCGGAAGCGTTATTTTCGACGCAACTTAAACAGATATGCTGCCATGACAAATCGTTATAGAGTTATGCAGTAGTTATGCTGCGCGCATGGGAATCTCCCAAATTGTTGCCGCTCTTTCATTAATAATATTAATACCGTGTCTAAATTATAATGTAAACCGTTTTTCCCCGCATTATTTCAGTCTTTCTCTCTGTATATATACATATACACACATACCCAATGTACACACAGGGTTTATTACTCAATTACATTTTTTTTTCCCTCTGCACTGCTCATCTTTTCTTCACTGTAATATTGCTTCCATTTAATTCCGTCTAATTTGTTTGCTCCGAGCAAGAAAATATGTGAGCGCTCTGACGGCATCAAAACAAAAACGAAAACGAGAGGAAATAAGAAAAACAGAAGGCGAAATGTTAAAAGGAAAAGCCCGGCACGAAAATAGGAGAAAACCGCTTCCTTGAATATTTCATATTCTTAGAGTGGTGTTTTGCTAAACAAAGGTACTGCCGTAATCCAATTACCGTGCTTTGCGAATATTAAATTTTCAGTTGTAATATATTATTTGAAATGCTCGGAGTTGCACCTCTTCCCTTCCATGGGGTACGAACTCCACCCTCCATTAAAAGATTATTTATATTAATTTCGACTTGCAACATGATCAATTAAAGAAAAAGCTCTCTGAAAATTACAATTAATAAGATAATTTGTCTGCTTTTATATAAATTATTTCAAGTCTTCCCATCCAGATGGCTAAATGCCAAGTGTCTGCACTTGAAAAAAAAATCTGCCTTTCTACAAGCATTCCCACATTCATATAAACATCAACAACGGACTAATATTATTATCTTGAAAGCAAACCCGATCTGGTACGAACCTTCCATTAAAAGATTATTTATATTAATTTCGACTTATAAAATGTTCAATTAAAGAAAACGCTAAAGATAATTTGTCTGCTTTTATAAACATTTGTGTTATTTTAAATGTTTCCGCTCAGATGGTTAAGTGTCTCCACTTCAAAATCTGCCTTGCTGATATTTCTACAATCCTTCCCACATTCAAACAAACATCAACAAGCGACTAATATTACATTCTTGTAAAGTAAACATACCGCATTTAAGCGAAACGCTAATAATTCTCATTGTGATGTCACATTCAGATTCGCCTGTTTATTAGTGTTTGGTGAAACACAGCCAAAGTAAATAAAATATAATAACACTATTACTAATTATTATTTTAAGCATAATTACTAGAATATTAAGTTATTTTGAACGTTTTCATTCTATCTTGGAGATGAGCGTGTGAAGTGTGTAGGTACGTGGCTGGCAATAAAATCAAATGTAATTCAACATTGGGGCCATTAAATTCCTTCCGGTGTACCTCGGCATTAAAATAATAAATAAATACAGCAATAAATGGAGGTAGTAGGAAAGACGTAAAAGAAAATATTGCTGACGCTCGGTCGGCTTTAGTGATGTAATCCGCTATATAGATTTCCTTCTCGCTCTCTCTTTCACTAAGGATGATTGCAATTAAATTGGACGAAAGTCCTTAAAACCCGAACGGCAGCCGTCGATTTACGAGCGGGGGCAATAAAAAAAAACTGCACCCCGTGAGCCGTCTGATTGCCACACGAGGCGCATCCATATATATTCGCGCCTTCGGCGATAGATGCAACTGCCGTTATATAACTTTATTGCTGGAGCGAATTGACTGGCTGCTGGCAGCGGTTGTTTTGTTTCGTGCGGAGGTGCCTGGAAATGGAATTGTTCTGCTTATGCCGGCATGTGTCAAATGGTGGAAAGCAAATGTTTATTATGTAGGGTAGCAAGCGGACAAAAGATG